GCGTGTTAGTAGTTTGCTGTGGTTGTTACAAGGGCAGAAGATTTGTTTTTGCAAGCAGTTTACTCTACTGATATAATTTATAGTGCTCTGGTTTAGATTTAAAGCAGTTATTCATTTATCTCCAGTACCACAAATCTAATATAAGGTAAGTTCAGACGTAACAAAGGCGTTAAATAAAACGCCTTCAGTTCAAAACGAAGAAATAAGCGACCGTTTGCTAATATATTGATGTTTCCTGAGTGCCCGGCTTGTTGTGTCATGCTGTCATTAAACAAACGCGTTAAGGTTGAAAATCCAACTCGGATTTTTATTTTGGAAGAGTAGCAAACTATTTTCAAAATAAAGTTACAGCCTTTTTCTTCTGTCTGAATTTAATATAAAATATTGACGATCTGTTGTTTTTGTTATAGGTTTTAAATGTACAAAATTACATATAATCACAATAAAATAAGGTATTCTCATTCTAATCTAAAATATGTGCAGACATTATTTTAACTTTCACTGAAGAGCGAGGTCTGCTGTCTGTTATCTGTACTAGAGGTGCAGAGCTGAGTACCTCTGTGTAGCAGTGAAATAAAAATATTCTATCAGGAAAGTTAGATGCAGTGTAATGAATTAATGTGACCTTCATAATGGAGGCAAAATGAAAGAAGAGAACACGCTGTCTATCCCTGTCTTTGTAAATAAAGTTGTTTGTATTTGTTGGTCTCCCCTCAGATGTCTCCGAAACCTCTGGAGCCGCTGGCTAAGAAGCTCATGAAGGGCGTGATTGCTCTGGAGCTGCTGGGCGTCCTCGGGGCTTACGGTCTGTTTCACACAATGGACACCAGTCGAGGTATGAAATTATGATGTTAAATGGATCTGAAATAGGTCTGGCTTTATATCATCCTAAATTTAATGTTTTATATCCTGTACCACCTGCAGATTTCAGGAACACTATGAACAGGAGGTTCCCATCCATCCTAGAAGGTAAGAAGAATCTCCAGGTTCAAACTGGGGCTTAGCAGAAGGTGTTTTTCAACTCTAACATGGACACTGGCTTCTTTCATAATAATAATTACTGTTTATATAGTGTGGTCCAGATTTAAAATCATTACTAAATTAGAAAATCAGAAACACACCTGCACAACGTATGAAAATAAAAATGTCAGAGCACAGATAACGTTGAAATGTACATACAACAGATGAAAATGAGGTCATATTTAAATCAATTAAAACCCAAATTGGTGAAATAAATCAATTCATATGAAAATAAAAATGATTAGTGCAATTTCAGCAGAACAACAAAGTTTTTTTGAAGTTCATCTGAAGATACCAACATAGCACCAAATAAAGACAATATACATTAAATCAAGTAATGTGTAAAAGTATATTAGGTACACATTTACTGCAGAACAACCTGATTTTTTTTAGCCATAAAATAAACAACATGTTTATAAACCTTCCTTCTGCTTTATGTGAACATCATATCATAATTTCTGTAAGTTAATCAGCTGCACAGCTCTGCTGCCAGTCTCTCAACCCACAAATTTCCAACACAACAAAATTAATTTTGTGACGTCCGCTTCCTCCCAGTTTACTACAAGTCCAACGAGTGGGCGGGGATCTACGGCATCCGAGAGAGAGACCAGGAGGCCTGGTCAGCCAAACAGGATTGAAGGTGTCCATCGACGTCATCGTCATTATCACGTGCAGCGCCTTGGCATCTGAGTCTGGAGCCTCCCGGCTGCTTCAGCACTGCACATTAGGAAAAAAGACATCACTTCCTGTAAAGACTCATCCGATCTCATTCATTTATACAGGAATTGTCTTTTCTCTGTGGAGAAGTTATTAAATGTGGCTGGTATCCAGCCCAGTCAAGGAAATCCTGCCTTTGTTATTTTTAAACACATATACTTTGTGTATATTTGCTGCTGTATGAAGCAGCCAAACCCAAAAACCTCTTTTTGGGGGGTTTTGTCTCACACTTGGTACCCAAGTACAATCTCAAGTGGGGGTGATGATATGGTAAATGGACTGGTTCTTATGTAGCGCTTTTCTACTCTATATGAGCAGTCAAAGCGCTTTATACAACTAATTCATTCACCCAATCACACAACCACTTTTTCTAACTGTTAAGTGCTTACTGTCTAACATTCATACACATTCACACTCCGATGGATGCATCGGAGAGCAACATGGGGTTAGTATCTTGCCTAAGGATATTTGGCATGCAGCCTGGGATCGAACCACCAACCTTCCAGTAGATGACCTGCTCTACCACCTGAGCTATAGCCACCCCCTTCCCCCTGACCTGACATCCTGGTTCCCTCTTGCGAGAGCATTTGTAGACACCCTGGTCGGGAGTCAAACCACTCACCTGAACTTCCAAAGGCGAGTGGTGTTACCACTATGCTATTGATCAATGGATATACATATATATGTAGAGGTGTGTGTGTGTGTGTATTCATGAACTTTCTTGATGTCCCTGTTACTCCCGCTTTTTCTTTGCTGACCTTTAGCATTACATTCTTGCACTTCCTATTACTTTAGTTTGATATAATAGCTGTAAACTAACAACAGCCACAAGAGGTGTTATAGCTGTTGTACAAAATCAGTTAGTTTTTCTTTTTGTCTGTTGATAACATTAATTATATCATTACTGCTGTAAACTAATTTACAGCAATTTGTAAACTAATTTAAAATGACCACATTTATTGAGCAAGTGTACCTAATAATCTCCCATCAGTTCAGGTACAAAATACTTTCTAGATTAATCATTTGGTCTATTAAAAGTTAGGAATTTGTGAAACAGCGACAGAGAAAGTCAGAAAGATAGTATTGCTTGATATTAAATTACATTTAAAATGGTTTAATGTTAACTGCTATATTTGATCATTTTATCCATTCATCCATCTTCTTTTGCTTATTCAGGTTGTGGGCAGGAGCCGGAGCCTATCCCAGTTGATACTTTAATGGTTAATACCACACCAACAAAAAACCTGAACCAATTTTAATTTGTAAATGTAAAACAGCAAAACCTTGAAACGGTGCAGACCGTTCTACAAATGGCACATTATGATCAGTATGTTCAACTTGATCCGAACGACAGAAACAATCATTGAACCTGTAAACACACTGAACAGGATCATGAAACACTTAAATGTTTGTCTCACACAAACACACACACACAGGTTGTATGTGAATTGATTTGTTAGATACAAGGAAATCTGCTGCTTATGTGTCAAACAGGCTCATCCCATGTCAGCTCAGATTTGCCTGAAAGAAAATGCTGACTTCTTAAAAGGAACGAATCATGAGATTTCTCAAAAATAACCAGCCTCCTGGTAGACACACCTGCGGTCTCAATTTGAAGTTCTTGAGGTTGTGCTTGAATTATCGCACTCATAAACTTCAGCCTCTCACAGCTGAGGATGAAGGTCGGGATGTTTTTACATATCACTCTGAAATCCTTTTTTTGAGGGAGCACTTTAAAATTCCAATATCTAGAAAACTCCCAGAGCTTCAAATGTGTTAGAGTAAATATGAATGTGGAGCGTCAGCAGTGCAGCTCCAGTTAACGTAAAACAGGTGTTTGACAGCGGATTTGGAGACTTGTAGAAACCACAGTAGATTTTATTTAGAGCTTCTCACATACAAGACACGGGATATTCTTGAAAACAGTCCGAAGGTGAAAAACAAACCAAGAAAACGGCACAGCGGCACACACCCTCTCATTGGCCAGAGAAATTTGGGCCATGAGGCTGGAACTAAAAACAAAGCAATATTTCCCTTCTCTACATAATTATGAGTTATATGTGAGAGAACAGCGTAACAAATTTTGGATCTAATAAATTTACTTGGACTTTGTATATTGCGTCATACCTGGAAATATCACAGTGAACTTTTCCCCCAACATTTAAGCTTTAACGAGTGTAACGATTCACTTTTAGACTGTTTTAAGACAATTCTGTGTAAACAACATTGTGTGAGAAGCAAAATGTTTCTACAAGCTGTAGACATCTAAATATTTCAGCAACTTCAAGCATCGTTCATTCGTTCAGAGTCCATTTTCATAGAGGCACAGGACCAGATATTTACCTTAAAACACAAATGTTCCCTCAAAAACATCATGAAACAGCCCTGCTTTCATCCCGTGAAGTATTCATTTATGCATTTTAAAACCAAAGTTTATTTTAAACATGATGGACTGAGATGGAATGATCCAGATGAGATTTGCAGCAAAATGTTCAGCACAACAAAGTCTTTGATTTTACAAAAAAATAAAACAAGCTAAATGTGGCTCCTCTTCGCCAGCCCCCAGATTGAATCTGTAAACACCGTTTTATGTCCGCGTCCTCCCGGTTTACGATGAGACCGCTGAGTGTCCGGGAATCTACAGCGTCCGGGAGACAGACGAGGAAGGCGTGGTCACCGAAGGTGTCCCTCAGCTTTAGGCCAACATCTTCAGCATCCTCGTCATCTACTTCCTCTTCTTCTTGCTCCCAAACGTCCCGCTTCCCGTCCTGGCTTGGCCGAACCCCATCTTCTTCTTGTTGAACGTGGTCTTCTTCCTGCGCAGCGTCTTGGCGTCACGGCCGTGGATCCAGTCGTCGCGCTGAGCTTCCCACTTCAGCTGCTTCAGACCTGCACACAGGAAGTGTTAGAAAAGAAAACACATTTGGTTTATCTGTGCAGCGCAGCTGAGTGGGACTGACAGCACTTTCACTGTGTGGAGAAGTTATGAAGCGTGAGACACCGGCCTTCATCTCGTCTGTTTGTTTTTAACCCTGTTATAACCTGAAATAGCCTCAGCATCCTTCAGCTCTCACATGTCAGTCTGAATGTAATCATTCTTAGTTTCAAGGACCATTAAATGACATCACTGTAATAACAGAGATGGCTGTTGGGTCAATATAAGGAATAAAACTAACTTACTAATGAACATTTGTTATACAGAACATTTCAGGTGCTGTAATTATAATAGAAACCATAACCATAACCATTCCTGCAGTAGTATGAGCTGTTCTCACCTGCTTTGTCTCTATTGGCCATGGCGTTCAGCCCGATGTTGTCAAACTTGGAGCCGGCATTCTCGTCCAGCAGGCAGCCAAACTGACAAAAAAAAAGAATAACAATAATGATGTTATAAGACCTTTGAAATATTTATGATTCCATAATCCTGTTGTGCTTGTTTCCATGAATTCTCTGAAGTCAAACTGACCTCTTCAGCAGAAGCAAACATGGCTGCATCTTTCTTTTCCTTCTTCTTCTTCTGTTTGGAACCTGAAACATTGAACAGTGATCAATAAAATAACCTCCGGAGTCGCTGACTGAGTTTTCTATACGCAGCCAAAACAAACTGACACATTAAATTATGTTAATAATTCTTTGAGCTACAGATCCAGCATTAACCTAAAGATCCGGAGAAGTCGAGGTCCTCGGAGGATTTTCTCTTTCCCTTCTTGGTCTGTGGGGTGATGTCTGGAGCTTCCATCTCATCGTCTTCTGAATCTATACAGTGGAAAAGGTTTTTCCCAGTTTCAATATTACATTTGAAAAGAATTATTTTCTCTCATATCTTCTGATGGACGTTCATATTCAACACGGCCCACGTGCACAGCTAATCCTTTCAGCTTCAGACTGCTCTAAACATTTTCCTCCTCTTGGATCTTTATGATGTCACAAAGAGCAAATATTCTGAATATGGCCATCACAGGAATAAACGCCCCACCGACAAGTCTTCTGTGAGGGGCAGCCAATGAGGAGGAGCTATAACTGCTCATTTCAGACAGAGTATGGACTCAGTATAAGATAGGGAAGGATTATTCTGAAATGTGAATCATGCAAAGCTGCTCTACAAGAGTCCAAGAATGAAAATAAGGAGCTGAAAATAAGCAGAATAATTCCACATTAGCAGAAGGATAAATTCCAGCCATCTTTCATAATTTAGCATAGAACCCCAAATTTTGCATTCATTTATTAAATGTTTTTAAGTTAACTGTAAGATATTATATTTTAATTAGGTGCTGCTTTAACAGATGAGTTGACTGAATTTATTAATCTGTATCTTTATAATGATTAAACTTCACTGGTTCCAGAACCTTAAATGTAAATGTTTAGTGGTTTTCTTTGAATTATGGGGTGCTTGTCTAAAATAGGTTTACAGATTATTGGCTCAGATATCCCATGATGCACTGTGTTCCCTCTTCAGTATGTAAAAAACAGTGGTTAGGATTTCTAAAAGGTACTGACCTTCAAATGCAGCACCTTCATCCTCCAGCTCAGGAACTGAAAGAAGAGGAGAAGGATCAGGTGTCTGTAAGAGCTCAGGTCGATTCTGTCCTTTAACTCATAACAGCGTGGACTTGAATATATGAACATCAATATAATCTCAAGTCAAATAATGACAAAAAAGACATTTATACAGGCAGAAAAAAATAAAGGTATTGGTGTATTAATTTAAAAACAGAGAATATTGAACTGGCACTCAAAACAAAGCTGGATTAAAATAAGTTTTTGTACTTTGTCATATTTTTTTACCTTCACCATCATCATCACCCTCTTCGTCTCCATCAGGGTCCATGAACATCCCTCCTTCTTCCTCCAGTTCGTCTCCGAAGTCTTCCTCGTCCATGCTGCCCAGAGACACCTCCTCATCGTCCAGGTCGTCCATGTCCGAGTTGTCCACGTCCGACTCCGAGTCGTCTCCTGATTTCTTATCTTTTTTACTCTTTACATTACTGACAGAAAAACAAAAAAGTTGTGAGGAAGAGGATGGTTCAGTCAGTGTGTAAAAGTCTTTAAAGTCTTTATTTGTTTTTTTCAAACAAAACCAAAATCGTGTTCGACTCTCACAGCCAATCAGATTATTCTGTTTTTAAGACTAAATAAATACCAACATAATGCTCTTCCTAGTATTTCCTGTATTTGCTTTCCCATGTGTAGCAACAGTAATACAGAAATAAATAAAACAATAATACTGTAAACAGAAGGAAAATAAATTTAAGAATGACAAAGTAAATCAATAAATGAATGGAAATAAAACCCAAGAGTAAACCTGAAAACTCACCCTGCAAAGTCCAGATTATCACTGCCGAGGTCGGTAAAGTACGAATCGCCTTCAAAGGTGTCTGCCAAAAAACAAACAAACAGTTACTCAGCCAGAGAACTTTAAGTTATACTACAAGCAAAGGAGGAAGAACAGGAGGAGCACAGCCAGCCTCCGGTGGGCTGCTTGTCCTTTAGCGGGAACCCTGTCACAGCCCAGAGCCGAGCATTCCCCCGCGAACACCAGAACCGGCAGGTCGACCACTAACGGCCTGGTCTCTTCACGGATGAGAGCAGGTTGACACTGAGCACACGTGCCAAATGTTTAACTGTTGAAGGGCAGCAGCAAACAGCACCTCAGACTGGCCAGGAGTTCACCGATTCCTCATCAGGAAGATCCTCCCATCATCAGGATCACGCCCAGGTGTTATCAGGCACGTGTGGGCCAAACTCACAGTGAGCCAAACTACACTCAGACTGGATCAGCCTGCGATTTAAATTTTTACCTTTTATTTGAAATATAAAAGATTTTAAATGCAGTTCTGTTTACGTCGAAATGTCAGTGTTTTATGTAATCCCTGTTTATAAATTTAACTGTACAAGTGTCTCGACTGAAGCCATTAACCAAGGATCTGTGATGTTTTCATGAGGAGATACTGAGCATTAAATTAGAGACGATGGTTTATTTACCATCTCATCTCTGATTTTTGCAGATGATGTGGTTCTGTTGGCTTCATCGGGTGAAGGCCTCCAGCTCGCACTGGAACGGTTCGCAGCCGAGTGTGAAGCAGCGGGAATGAGGATCAGCACCTCCAAATCAGAGGCCATGGTTCTCAGCCGGAAAAGGGTGGAGTGCCCACTCCGGGTCGGGGATGAGTTCCTGCCCCAAGTGGAGGAGTTCAAGTATCTCGGGGTCTTGTTCGCGAGTGATGGGAGAAGGGAGCCGGAGATCGACAGACGGATTGGAGCTGCAGTAATGCGGACGCTGCACCGGTCCGTCGTGGTGAAGAGGGAGCTGAGTGTAAAAGCGAAGCTCTCAATTTACCGGTCGATCTACGTCCCTACCCTCACCTATGGCCACGAGCTGTGGGTAGTGACTGAAAGAACGAGATCGCGGATACAAGCGGCAGAAATGAGCTTCCTCCGAAGGGTGGCTGGCCTCTCCCTTAGAGATAGGGTGAGAAGTTCGGCCATCCGGGAGGGGCTCAGAGTAGAGCAGCTGCTGCTCCACATCGAAAGGAGCCAGCTGAGGTGGTTCGGGCATCTGACAAGGATGCCCCCTGGGCGCCTCCTGGGTGAGGTGTTCTAGGCATGTCCCACCGGGAGGAGGCCCCGGGGCAGACCCAGGACACGCTGGAGAGATTATATCTCTCGGCTGGCCTGGGAACGCCTTGGTATTCCCCCGGACAAGCTGGAGGAGGTGGCTGGGGAGAGGGAGGTCTGGGCCTCTTTGCTTAGGCTGCTGCCCCCGCGACCCGACCCCGGACAAAGCGGATGACGATGGATGGATGGATGGTTTATTTACCAAGAAGTTTCTCAAACTCATCATCGTCCACATCCTCCAGGCTCTCGTCGTCATCGTCGCCTCGTGGCCGGCGTTGCTGCTTCTCCTGCTGTCGTTTCTTGAAGAAGCTGACGAATGAAACAAAGAAACAAAACTCATTAAACAGAATACAATCAAAAAACAGTGGAAATATGTCAGGTGACTTTGCTGGGACGCACCGATGGAAGAAGATCTCATCAACAGGAACCTGACTTTCTTCTTTGGACAGAAACTCTGCGCTGTTCACTGACACACACAAATAATTTAAAGGATCCACACTTCATCTGACATCACAGAGCAGGTGAAGGAAAAACAAACAAACATAGAAAGTGTGAAATTTGTTTAAAGTTACCTGGTAGCAAGCTGACAGGTAATCTGTGTTTGGGCTTCATCACAGCGGCGTCAGTGTTTTCTAAAGAATAAAAAATATTTAAAAAACGAAAGTTTACAATTAAAATTATTAATATTAGTTCATTAAGACCGTCAATAAACTGTCACAATGTGTGAAGTCAGCGTGGTTAAATCTGTTTTGAGCCGAGACAGCAATGAAACCACAGACTAATAATAACGCCTCTTCAGGATGTTTATCGTTTTCCATCTTTCTGAGTCTGAATTTTTTTATTTTTCTGTCGTTTTCAGCTTGTAAAGACTTATTTAGATTGTCTTTACTGTCCACTGTCTCTTGTTTCTCTGCAGGTTGCTGCTGTTTTGCAGCTTTGTGCGTTTTTTGTATTTTATTTCATCCCCTTTTCATTGTTTTTGTTCCTCTTTTAAGTCCGTTTGTTTTAATCATCCTTTCTTTTTTGAATTATTTGAACTATTTATTGAACTATTTCACAAATGTGAACATTTGACACCAGTTTTCGTCATTTTCCCATCTACATGTGATCATTTTGTATCCATCTGTGTTTATGTTGCATCATTTTTGATCCATTTTACAAAATGCATCCAATAGAATTCGGTGCTTGTTTGTCTTACGTTCTGCTTTGAGCTGTTTGGGGTTTCTGAAGACAAATCGATCGAGGAAGCGGATGAGGGTGAAGTCCTGCAGAGGGTCCCCAGAGTACTGGATGAAGTCTCCCTGTGGAAATAAAATCATATCAAACATTAACAGCAAGAATCATGACGACTACAGAGCTCCTGAGCATGTGGAAAGGGGCGGGGCTTTTACCTGCAGAATGGTTTTTGCAAACAGCGACACTGACGGATGGAAGTGCAGAGCGAGCTGCAGAGAACATCAGACATTAGGTTATACACAGCAGCTTGTGAACACAAGCTCTGGTTACGAACTTTGTGTTTATTAGGACAGATTTTTTTACCTTCTGCAACTCCCATAAAGTCGAGCGATCTGCACCGCAGAATAACGGGTTTCTGTGCAGCGGGTCGTAGCTCTGAACACTCTTCATTCCTGAAAGAAAACAGGACGGAGAAACAAACATGATGAAGCTCGTCTTCTTATTTACTGTCCTGCTTTATTTTAATCAGCCAGGTGCAACAAACACACAAAATTAGCTGGAATAGAGATTACAACATGATCAAAAAGTTTTTCCTGATTCAGGCAAATAAAAAAAAATCTGCAATTAGTTTCATGAAGCTAAAACAAAACAACTAGCTATTAAACAATAGCCTCCCAGGAAGACAGTGGGTGGAAATGGTGGAAAGTACCAGGGGCACTGGCGGTTATGTTAGATTAAACCCATCCTTCAACAACAGTTTTCAAACAGAGAACGTCAGCACTAATCTTTGCGTTTCACAGACCTTCCAGGTTCTGGTGATGTACCCATGATGCTGCAGGTTTGACCTCCTCTGCCTCTGTGTTTGTTTGTTCCTCTAGTTTGTCAGCATCCACGAATCGCTCCTCTTCATCATCATCATCTGCAGCGAGGTCTTTGAACGCCTCCTCTTCCTCATTCTGAATGAAGCCATAATTCAAAAGTTTAAAGCAGTTCATCTTTGAGAGCATTTTTGTCCAAAAGGAAAATCTAAAGCATCAGTTTTACACCCTCTGAGATTTCTTACCCCCTCCGCCTCCTGCAGCAGTATCTTCAGGCCCGGTTTGGCTCTCATGACCTCCGACACCAAGAAGAGCGCCCCACAGGCGAAGCTGGCGCTCTGCTCGGCGCTGATCTGCAGCAGCCGTTTGACAAAGGCTTTGACCCGCCTCAGCGCCACGTCAGCCTTCATGGATTTGTACAGCAGGTTCAGGAACATGTTCGGGCGGGAGGACGACGACAGCCCGGGGTCCAGCAGCTTCCTGCAACACAGGTGGAGAAAGTAAACACCTGAATGTTGTCTGTTTAGAGCCCACAAACAAGCTGCCAGGCAAGGTTTTCCTTACCTGTACAGAGCCACATAGTACCGGTCCGAGATGCTCTGCTGGGAGTCCATCACCTGGAACAGCAGCATGAGTGCCTGCACGGCTGTGTTGAACTTCACCAGATGAACCACTTTGAAGAGTGTGTCCATCTGCTCTCTCACTTTGTCGTCCCCGGTGCTGGTGTAGGGATACGCCCTGTTCACGCCCGCCAACAGCGCACTCAGCATCTTCGACTCAATGTCCTTCTTTTTGACGCAGGCACGGAAGAAGGAGAAGTAGATGGTGATGAGCTTGGCGGCGAGCCCGTCCTCGTCGTGGCTCAGGATCACCTGGCTGAGGAAGCACACGGCGTAGTACTGTGCCTTCGGGCTGATGTTGGGTCGGAACAGGAGCCGCTCCACCTCGCAGCACACCACCCCCTTCATGTTGGGGTGTTTGTGCAGCAGTGTCTCCAGCAGGTACGATGCCTTTGCCGCCGTCTTGTACTCGGGGTCTCCAAGCTTGTTTACCACTTGGGTGAGCAGCGCCTTCTCTTGTTCTGGACGGCTGCACAGCAGCTCATGGGCAGTGGCTAACGCCTTTGCCTTGGTGGCGGGCACTGTGTCGTGAGCCACCGAGTCCAGCGCCACCACAAACTCAGCCACGTGGTGCTTCAGCTGGTGCTCAAAGTACCAGAGGATGAGGCGGCGGTCGCGGGCGTCGCGGTTGCCGCTGGCCTTCTCCTCAAGCTGGTCGAACGGGTGCTGGGCAAAGGTGCGGAGCTTCCTGTCCCCGGGCAGCAGGTTGGACAGCAGCAGCTCTCGCAGCGTGTCCATTGCCATCAGACCCATCCGCCGACTGCCCTTCTTCTTCACCATGGTGACTAGGTTCTCCACGTGCTCCAGCATGTGCACCGGAGCGTCCTGAATCAGAACCGTCATGGCTGCCATTCTGTCCGCCAGCACGCCAGAGGAGACAACTGTCTTCATCCAGGCCGAGTTGGCGCCTTTCTGCAAGCTCTTCTTGGTCTTGTAGAGGGTCACCTCAGCCTCGAACAGCTGCTGAGCGAGCGTCTTGTACTGCGAGACCAGGGCAGCATCCTGTGGCGCCGACGAGCCCTCTTCTGTGTAATCCAGCTCGAACCACTTACCACCAGGTTTGATCAGCAGCACCTGCCGCGGCTGGAACTCAAACACGGTCTGGCTCTGCTTCGCCTTTTTTGCCGCCGATACCCGCGCCTCTTTTGACTTCTTCTTCTTCTGATCGACGACGTTGGGCTGAGTGTCAGGTGCCGTCTCCTCTGCTTTCTCCACTTTGACCTTTTTAGCTTTCTTCTCGCCAGCAGCTGTGGCAGCCGTGGCGGCTTCACCCTCAGGCTTGTCCGGAATGGTTTGCTGCGTCGCGTATGCCCGGATGCCCAGCTTGGTGATGAATGACTCCAGCTCGCCCTCCTCCAGATCATCTATCGCTCCTTTCATGCCGCCATCGACGAGCTCGTTGGAGTCTTCGAGGCCGGCGAGGAGGATATAGTCGGCCTAAAGACGTAGAGAAGAACCACAAAGAAAAGATTAAAAATATGCGACAAAGAATTCTGATTAACATTTGTGTATAAATTGTATTTAAATGTTTACTTTATTTGATACGTTTTTATTTATTTATGTAAATAATACCATGGAAGCATGGATCCATCCTGAGTGTATAACAACTGTTCAGCCAGCGGTCTAATGGTGTGGGGATATTTACTTGGCACACTTTGTGTCCCTTAGTACCAACTGAGCATTGTTAAAACACCACAGCCTTCCTGGTTACTTGAACATGACACTGAGTTCACTGTACTCAAATGGCCTCCAAAAGGATCAGAGCTCAATACAGGAGAGCACCAACAGGAGATCCGCATCATGGATGAGCAGCAGCTGTCTGATACGATCACGTCACTAAGGACCAAAATCTCCTAGGAATGTTTCGAGCGTCTTGTTGAATCTATGAAGAAATAAGGCAGCTCTGAAAGCAAAAGTGGATCCAACCCAGTAACAGCAAAGTGTACCTAATAAACTGTCCGGGGACTGTGCTTTTACGTCACATAAACTTTCGTGTCAGTTCAGAAAACTATAAAAACAAACCGACTTCCACAAGTTAAAACGCTCCCTGACTCTGTTTGTGAGTGTTGGCCCTGTTTCACCAGGTAAATTCACCTTAGTTCCTCCGAGCCGTAAAACCTCCTCCAGACTGAGCTCCTCTTCCTCTCTCTCCTCCTCTTTCGTATTCTTCTCTTCACCTTCATCCTCCTCTCCGCCGCTGTTTTTCGCCTCCGGCTCGTTTTCTTCGGCCTCAAATGTCACTTTTTTGGACTTTTTACGTTGCTTGTTTTTCGCTGCCATGCTGTTTGCAGCGTGAGGAAAACTGACCCGGATGTTGAACGAAACGTTTCCGGTGCACGGTTACCAGATCTCATAGTGGGGTGCTATCAGAATTCAACTCAGAATCCATTTATTGTCACTAAACATCAAATGAGAACCAGCTCCCTGGTAGCAGAATTTAGAATAAAGACTAATTTATAAAAATCTTAAAATGTAATTATACAAATGTACAAGGTCATTATGTGTTAGCCAATATTTTTCACATTTGTGAACAATAAGCAGCCCGAGTTGACTATTGGAAGGTTGTAATTGACGTAATGTAGCTTTTACACTGGTAACATCAATTAGTCGCATTATTACGGAAGAAACCTTTAAAATGTGACAATTTTCAGGCAAGTTCTGGTCTCCCAGAGAAGCATCCCTTCTAAGTTCGTTTACGGACCTTTATTTGAAATAAACCTCAGATATAAGATATAAAACAGACAGCATCGGTTTTTATTTTTATATTTTTGTAGTCATATATGACTGAGGTGTGATGTCGATACTTGGCCAAAGAATTTTTGGCGGCATTTCCGGCCAATCTGGCAAGACGCACGGTTGACTTTTTTTTTATTTTTTAGATTGATTCGTTACATAAAAACAAATAAATCTAAATGATATGTTTTACACAAATAACTAAAGTAAATTATGTTGATGAGCACGCTAAAAAAATATTAAATCAAATATTAAAAACGAGTCCCCTACGTAACCGTCTGTCCTCCAATCACAGCGTTTGTTGTCCGTCTGAAGCGTCAAGGTGCTGTTTTAAAACACGATATCAAAGGAAATGGAGAAAGATCTTTCAAAATAAAATGTCAATGACTATTAATGGGAAAGCTACTTTCCACAATGGACTTAAAAAATCTAACGGGACACTGAAGGGTAGGTGTTGGCTTAATGTGCTCTGGAATAAACAGAGACAAATTCACAGAGACTGAAGATTAAGAAAGAAGAAAAATGTATCGCTGTGGTTTTCATGTCGTGCAGAATGTATCAAGTTTATAGGCATGAAACATAATTCAGATACATTAGAAAGATGTAGGCCGATTTATACTATTACTGTATCATTTCTTTATTGTTTTATTGCTGCTTTGGGTTTTCGTACAATAATTTATATTTACTGTATATCTTTAATCACTCGTTGAGATTCATTTTCTTTAAGTTTTATTTTGACACTTAACCGGATGGTATCTCTATTACTGCGACGAGCTTAGCGTTAGCATGTGGTGCTTTAACGCTTTTGCACGGGGACGGTGCAGCGTTTGACCTGCGGTAACTTACACCCGGATATCCATAAACGCATTCAGACGTTTTTATCTCGTGTACCAGGAGATGAAACGTCGCCTCCGACGGCAGGTTTCTGATGTTTTTGTATCCTTAAAAACAACAGAAACCTCGTAGTTGAAGCTAACCGGCTAGCCGCTGTGCTGTCAAAGAGCAGAGAGTCCCTCCATGTGGTTAAAGTAATATCCAGTAATGAGGTGGTTCTGTTCTTTCCTGTGAAGCAGAATGAGGGCTCTTCTCTGTGTTAAAGCACAGCAGCTGCTCAGCAGAGGTTTTATCCACCCTGTCAGGCCGGCAGCAGCAGGTGAGAGGTCAATCCAGATAATAAATTCTAATTCAATTAATAGTTTATTAGTGTAGATAAACATGGGGACGGTATGAGATTTTAAATGTATGAATTGAATGTTTCTGTGTGACAGTGCGATGGCAAGCAGCCCCTTCCAAACTCTTCTGCAGCTCTGCACCTGATGGAAACAACAAACCATCCTCCATGCTGCGCCACCTGACCTCTAAAATAAAAGCCACGGGGCCGATCCCTGTGGCAGAGTACATGAGGGAGGTGCTCACCAACCCTGTGAAGGTACAGAATGATTAACTCCACCTTAAGTGTGTGCCAGAGTACCACTTGCAGGTCATGAATCAGAATTCAAAAGCAAAGCTTTTGTTCACTTTTGAATCCTCTATAACAAATTTAAATAACCCTTATTTCTGTCTTTCTGGGCCTTAGTTCAGTCTCTCAGGTCATCCTCTGTCTGTAACAAACTTAAACTCAAATTATGAACACCCAGACCTCACAGTGACTCCTGTGGTCTGAACTCTCTGGGGCTTTGTGGTAACCACCAATCCAATGATAGTGTTAGCATGTAAAAGCAGCAGCTGGTTTTCCTGTTTTTAGTGAGTATCTTTTCCTTGTTTGTTTTCCCCCCTCTCAGGGTTATTATGTGAGGAGCAACATGCTGGGACCTGAAGGAGATTTCATCACTTCACCAGAAATCAGCCAGATCTTTGGAGAGGTGAGGCTGGAAAAACCCCTCAAACTTTCAGTTTCATTCCACATGATGTTTCCACTCAGCCGGCCTCTGATATACACTGTTCACATCAGGTAAACGTGTCTTTGATCGGCCTTCGTCGGTCATTTTACTGTTAGCGGTTGACACATACTTCATCAATAGTAAATATGTTCCAAAATATTTTGAATTAAAAATTAAAATAGGCCCATTAAAAATTATTATTAATTGGTTTTCAGTTGTTGTGCGTGCTGGGGAGAATAACAGGATGGTCCTGTGTCATAGATATCATGATATGATGCTTTTATATCATGTAAAAAAAAAAAATTATAGCGGTATTTGCAAGTATGGTATAAAATGACGCAGCCCTGTTCTCACAGCACGTGGGATCAGCTTCTAGGTCAAATGCTGATAGATGACGATAAATTCCTGCTTCATTGGTGCTCCGATCGTGTCAGAGCTGGTCACAGTTTGTGGGCTTCTGCTTGTCCTCTTGCTTTTTGAGGAATGAACAAAACTAAAAACGTACTTAAAAAACGAGATCTTCCAGCGATCCAGGAGTCACACGGAAAAAGTGATGCCTCAGAGGCTCAAAGAGTTTGGAACTGAGATTGTGGCTTCAAACACCTATGGTCGGTCAATGCATTTTCTTAGCACAGAGGCTAAGTGAATACAGTTTGTGAATACAGACTTTCAGTATGAATGCATATGATGACTATGAATGTATAATAAAATACATACATACTTTATTTTAAAAAAAAAATTGGCTCCTACCGAAAAGATAAATCACAGGCAGTGTGGTTCTAAAGAAGTTTTTTTGTGAGTTTTCCTTTGTTTAAACCCTGGAATACGATAAGTATGATGTGATCAGGACAAGAAGACAGATGAGTAAGACACATTACAGTGAGGGCTTTTGTGTTTTTTCATGCTGCTTGAAATCAGTGTTCATGTGCAGTAAAAAAAAAGTTCCTTTTGCATAAAGTTCAGCTGTTTAATGTCACAGACCTGGTGATCCAGGTATGAAGCTCTCTGCACCGTGTTGTGTCTGTATTGTGCTGTTGCACTGTTTGTTTGCCATTTTCACACACTTGCACTTTATGCGGTCCTGTCTCTACTGTTATGTGTAGCACCATGGTCTTCACTGTGTACTGTACTGCTACATATGGCGGAAATGACTTGACTTTCCTTGAAAGCAGCACGTTTAGATTCAGTAAGATAAGAAAACTTTGTGCTTCTCCTGCTGGTTCAAACATGTTTGGTCTCCTCCAGCTGATCGGAGTGTGGATCATCAGTGAGTGGATGGGAGCTGGTCAACCCAAACAGCTGCAGCTGGTTGAGCTCGGACCTGGAAAAGGATCGCTGGCGAGCGACGTCATCAGAGTACGTCAGCCAGGCTTAACGCTTTTCTATGAAAGACTAAAGATTTCACCCCAAAGTGGAAACATCTGTGTCATCAAGTTGCAATTTTTTCTCTCTTCAGGTGTTCAGTCAGTTGCAGTCGGTGCTGGGCGGGGCCTCTGTGTCGCTGCACCTGGTCGAGGTGAGTCCGGCTCTGAGTCTGCTTCAGGCTCAGAATCTGACAGGAAACCGCAGCCAGGAGGCAGACGCAGAAGATGATCTGGTTTACCGTCGCGGAGAAACTGAAGCAGGGCTACCGGTGTCGTGGTACCGCCGGTTAGACGATGTCCCGACAGGTACACCGGAGCAGAAAGCAGGCTGTGGTCGTACTGGTTTATATGGAACTACTCCATGCCACAAAATTAGAGAACCTGAAGATGTTAGCAGGGTGTTTCCTGGTTAAAGTAAGCACGTAAGCACAGTTAGTCCATCTATAGTTTAGGAGTTTGTGTTAAAATGACAAATACCTGAAACTGGTTACCAAAGTCATTGTTTTGTTTTATGAGTGTTTTGGCCATCGACATTTTATGTTTTGAAGCCAGATTTGACAAATGAGGTACACTGCACACTCATCAAACATACATCAACACTAAATTAGACTGTTAATCACACATTAAACCTCGTGTTTTATTCAGTAAGACTTTACTAACACAGAGTCCATAAGGTCATTAGGAAAGCCTCTGCTTGTGCTTCAAATGAAAAGTTGGGTCATTACCTCAGAAATATCTTTACAATAAGAAGCCATTCTGCTACCAGAGGAGTCGCCCTCTGGTGGACAATAAAAAAAATGCAGGTTTGAGGAAGTGTTCCCTGTTTTTATATACAGTTTATGGTTTTGACAGTGAGTATTTTCAGTGCTGAATTGATCTGAGGACATCAGGCTTCAGGCTGATACTGTTACTGTTTCCATTTGAGTTCTTTATGTGTTCGCTTTTAATCTCTATTAAAATATGTTTTTTCACTTCCGGCGCCCCCCGTGCGTGGCAGCCTGTTACAGCAGCTCCGCTCATTCTGCGCTTCCTTCTTATCTCCTCTTTACTTTCTCGTAATTTTTTGTAACTAAAGTTTTAGCAGTTAGATTATGTAATTATGGGCTACCGTTTTGTGCTAGTCTTGGTTGTCTTTCTCTGTTTTTATTTAACAAATTTCCCACGTGTGGGACTAATAAAGGTTATCTTATCTTCATTGAGTTTTTCCTCTTCTTCCAGGATTTAGTATCTTTGTCGCTCATGAGTTCTTTGACGCCCTGCCAATTCACAAATTCCAGGTGAGATTTAAAAACACAGTGTGTGAAATATTTATGTAGCAATAAAGCTTTTTCTTTACTGTCATATTAGTCCTTAAAGTCCTCTCTGTATACTGTGGTCTTGCATTGCATTTGACTACACTGTCATGATTGTTCCGACCACCAGATGGCACCAAATCAAAACACAAGAAGTCCATAAAAATGCGTTTAACGGCTGTATTTGGTGAAAGATAGGCTGTTTATGTGATAGGTTATTTGTGTAATTTAGCAGCGACTGTTCTTTGATTAATTTTTCCATATCTGACTTTTAGCAAAGTGAAAATTGGTGAATCTTTGTGTTAACAAGAAAAACCTGTAGCGAAGTCATTATGCTCTGCTTTAAGTTTAAATAAAACCATATGAAAAACAGAGATTTCATGTCTTGTGCAAAGGTTTCTGAGTGGCTGTTCCTCTGATGTTTGCTGTTGACGCCTGCAGCGCCCTCATAATAAGAACGCCTTTCAGCTGTTTTGTCCACAGAGGCCCATCTAAACATGTCCGTTTCTCTGTTTGGGGCAGAGGACTGAGAAAGGCTGGAGGGAGGTGTTGGTGGACATCGACCCAGAGAAGCCGGACACGCTGAGGTTTGTCGTGGCGCCGGCTCCGACCCTGGCCTCGACGTCGCTCGTGCAGGTCAGTAAATGTAGAGCTTCTGTGTCCAGGAAAGCAAAGCACACATTTATTAACATCTGCTTTTTACAGTTTCCAAAGAAAATCTACACTCCTTTATGGTTACCACATCACAGTTTATTAAGGCCTCTCTGGTTCTTGAAACCAGATAAAGTGGCTCATTGTTTGAATTTTAAAAGTTCAGATGACCTCAAAGAGAAATGAATCCTGCCTTTTATTAAGACCCGCTTCTGCCTCTGCTGCCGAGGAAGACGATGACAGTAATAATGATGATGATGTCAGACCTTTGGCAGGATGTTCAAAGTGTCTGAGCTGAGCTGGAGAGGCCAAATCAAGCAGGCTGTAGATGTATAGATGGCATAAATGTGGGCAATAAAAAACCAGATGAGGGCTGTAAAACAAACCTCAGAGAGTCTGTCTGAAGAGTCAATTTCCACAACGTTTAAAAGACTGAAGGACATCAGTCTTTAAAGTGGGTGAAAAAAAATGCTTTTGTAAGTTCAGATAAACCTCCAAGGATATAAAAGTCTGGATGTTTGGATTAAAGGGGAATTGTTTCTCCTTTGCACTGTGGAAAATATAAACACTTAAGTAGATGTAGTTTTGGAACAGTTTGAAGTCATGTGCTGGCTGTTGAGGTGATGAGATTTCTGGCCAGTGGTCTGAATGTCGAAGTGAAGAAATTTCAGAAAGTGCAGGTAAACTGCAGGAGTAATCGTGACTCTCTTAAGGGAGTATTACTGCTGGAAATGTTCTACAGGACTAGAACTACCCTCCTGAAGGTTCCATTGGTACTTTTGATGGATGCAGCTATCCCGGGTAGGAAGATGTCGAGGACCTTTAGTTGTAAGGCTCTTTTCTTCACTGTGTTAATCAGGTGTGGGGAACTCCAGGCCTCAAGGACCAGTGTCCTGCAGATTTTAGATCTCACCCTGGGTCAACACACCTGAATCAAATGATTAGTTCATTACCAGGCCTCTGGAGAACTTCAAGACATGTTGAGGAGGTCGTTTAGCCATTTGAATCAGCTGGGACACATCTAAAACCTGCAGGACACCGGCACTCGAGGCCTGGAGTTCCCCTACCCGTGGTGTAAATGGTGCGAAAGGTCCTGGTAGTCGTGATGCTCCACGTGGAGGTTGCATAAAATGTGACATATGAAGATCACTAATCTTTGTGCCAGGACCTGACTGACCATCCAACGAACACTAACGTTGTTTCGATGAGTTTACAGTAACCAGACATTTTGTTTGTCCGGGTCAGGAGGTGTAGCGGGTTCGTCAGTCTTTATTTCCTCATTATGGGGGGTCACCCATGCTTGAATGCCGGCTGGTTTGATTGCAACCTGGGAACGATGTCTTGGTTTGCCTTCACAATAGGCGCACATCCCTGTGGGTGGCAAGGGGCTTGGTTCAGCCTTCATGGTGTCATAGCTATGATTATGAATACAAACTGATGAAGCTCGTCTGTCGCAGATACAGTCCCCTTAAGATGGTTTGAGGGATCTGCAAGGCAACAGAAAGGAAGAAAAAAAATGTTTGTTTACTATTTCTGGCTCATTAACTGACTATAAAAGAAGGGCGTGGCCATCGTAATCTCACCGATTTTTGAAACTCTGTTTCAGCCAGTGTTATTTCTGCGTCTGTAGTGAAGATTCACCTTTTAAATTATCCTTTTCCCGCCTTAAATGATGGATAACTGTACCTGAGGGTTGTTTATGAGGTATCATGGGAAATGTAGGAAGACAAAATGAGAGATTAAGTTTAGCTTTTTTATAAACAGGAGACGAACTGCTGAATTGAACTCTCCTCACTTGTTCCGATCAAGTTTATCACACTGCATTTGTTTATGGACTGTTTGAAAAAGGGAAAATGTTCAGAGTTCAACAAGACGTCTGTAAGTGTCATTTGTTCCAGTCAAAGAAAAATGAACGCTAAATAAAGCAGAAAAGAAAACATCACATTTGAGAAGCTCGAACTTGAGGAAATTTCAGTTTTTGATTAATAAATAATTCCAAAAGATGTCCAGTCCACCTTTAAAAGGTGGAAACCTGACCTGTGTGTGTTTACAGTCCAGCCATGTTTTTGT